GTTTTGGGGTGTATGTACAGCATGCAAGAGCAAGAACAAGTGTTTAAGCAGTTACAAGCCCAAGAAGGAGAAGCATTTGATATAGGTTCTGTATTTGCTGCTGCTCAGAAGACACAGCAGGATTTGTTTGGTTTACATCAGCAGCAGAAGCAGCAGCAGCAGCAGCAGCAGCAGCAAAAAAAAGATGCAGAAAAAGAAGAGCAGCAGAAACTGCAGGAGCAGCTAAGACAGCAGCTACTCAAACAAAAACAGCAGCAGCCTATCCCTGACTTTCTTCTGAAGCAGCGGCAGCAGCAGCAGCAGCAAACAGAGAGGGGGACAGACAGAAGAAGTCCGAGCATCACGAGAGAAGCATGCCCAGCAGCAGCAGCAATTGCTGCTGCTGTTGCTAGGAGAAAACCAAAAACACCCAGCCGCAGCGCGAGCCGCAGCAGGAGCAGCAGCAGGAGCAGCAGCAGAAGCAGCAGCAGAAGCAGGAGGAGCGATAGTGGCAGCAGAAGCAGCAGCAGGAGCAGCAGCAGGAGCAGCAGCAGGAGCAGCAGCAGGAGCAGCAGCAGGAGTAGTGGCAGCAGAAGCACTAGTAGAAGCAGCAGCAGAAGCAGCAGAAGCAGCAGCAGAAGCAGCAGAAGCAGCAGAAGCAGCAGCAGGGACACAGATAGACGCAGCAGCAGCATACACGCAGACAAAACAGAAACACATGCAACCAACAGCAGCAGCAGCAGCAACAGCAGCAGCAGCAGCAGCAGCAGCAAGCTTCTTGCTGCAGCAGAAACCACAAACATCAGAAACGGCCAGACGAACCCAGAGAAGCAACCCGTAGTCAGCAGCAGCAGCAGCAGCAGCAGCAGCAACAGCAAGCCGAGCAGCAGCAGCAGCAGCAACAGCACTAAGCCAAGCAGCAGCAGCACCACCACCGCCAAAACTAGCAGTACCACCAGCAGCAGCAGCAGCACCAAGCCGAGCAGCAGCAGCAGCAAACCAAGTAGTAGCAGCAGCACCAAATCAAGCAGCAGCAGCAGCAGCAGCAGCAACAGCAAGCCGACCAGCAGCAGCGGCGGCAGCAGCAGCAAGAGCAGCAGCAGCAAACCAAGCAGCAGCAGCAGCAGCAGCAGCAGCAGCAGCAAACCAAGCAGCAGCGGCAGCAGCAGCAGCAGCGCCAAGCCGAGCAGCAGCAGCAGCAGCAGCAGCAAACCAAGCAGCAGCAGCACCACCACCAAACCTAGCAGCAGCAGTGGCAGCAGCAGCAAACCAAGCAGCAGCAGCAAACCAAGCAGCAGCAGCAGCAGCAGCAGCAAACCAGCCAGCAGCAGCAGCAGCAGCAGCAGCAGCAGCAAGC